TGCTTTGTGTCGCCTCCCGGCTGCTTCGTGTCACAGGTGTCCGTCCCCACGKAACATCCAGGGGCTTGTAAACTCACTTTTATGGCCGTAGCTCCTGTGAAAAGTTAYTGTAAGTTGTGCTGGAAATTTGCTCGCGCTAATGTGGCTGCGTATCCAGGTAGGTTGTCACTACGGAGGTCCCTTTGCCTTCCCCTGGAATAACTATGTGTTAATTATCATACACACAACGAGCACGGAGAACCAGGAGTGTCTGGCTGAGGTTTGGATGCTTAAAGGTTGAATAACTAACTCTGCGTTGATTATCGTAAACGAAACGAGCACGGAGAACCAGGAGTGCCTGGCTGAGGTTTGGATGCTTAAACGTTGAATAACTCTACACTGATTATCATAAACAAAACGAGCACGGAGAACCAGGAGTGCCTGGCTGAGGTTTGGATGCTTAAACGTGTTAAAGAACGAGGAACGACTTCGAGGTATTGCTTAGTGCTCCAGGTGCTTCATCAGCAAGGAGCAAATGAAATTTAAAAGAAAATAAAAGGTAAAACTGGTTCTGTTGCAATGATTCCCGTGTCTCAGCAGAACGTGGTGCTCGAGTATTAAAACTCTGGCACTTTGAAATCAGAAGTGAAGGGTTGCGTATCAGGTATCATCAGCTATGACAAATAAAAGATTACACCTGGGTCTGTTAGACACACAAAAGATGTTATCTAAATAAAGCTGCTTAAAACTGGTCAGACTTGCTTTCTGTGGTGCACCAGACTCTTATTGTAAGTGAAAAAGGTCYGCAGCAAAATCATCTCAAATACTAAATATGCAAGAATGAAARGATGTTCTTTAAAGGGTCTTGTTGATTTTTTTTTCCTTGATAACAAATTAGAGGGAGAAAAACCCAAATTTGTTAGTGCTTTTGATATTTGGTGTTTTTAATACCATTGTTAGATATTATAATTACTGGATATTTTTGTACCATGTCTGCTACACTCTAACATTTAAAATATTTTCTGTACCTTAATATTAGAGAAGTGCCAATTATGTTAGTGAAGCTGCAGGATTAAAAAGTCAGCAGAAGTATGAAGGGTTATTTGTTCATATTCTTTGTAAAAGCAGTATGTTGTAGTTGTAGCAAAGCTTTGGGAACTTTCCTGTTCCTGTTGATCAGTTCTTTAGGAAATACAAGAAAATTGTGATATATTGGTGCTAAAATAATCAAGTATAGAGTGTTGCAGCTGAACTGGAATGTGCATCTCTGGGTATTTTTTGGCTGGACAAGCCCTCCCACCAAGGGATGCCAGCAGAGCACAGGACAGGGGATGTSCAGCTGAAAGGGCTCTGTGTGTGTAACATCTGAATGCAACTGTTTGCAGCAGTCACTCTTTAAACTGTATTTTCCTCAGGCCTKTACATGAATTATTTCACAAGGTCTGTGTAAAGCTCCTCCAGTTGTGCTCTGTTTAAAAGGAGACTTGGTGTTTGTTGTGTCTATGTTAAGTTTGGCCAGCAGTACTTAAAGCCCATTTGTGCTAAACCAGTTTCTTCAAGTTGAGTGTGACGTTCCCAACTTAGAGGAACAAATGCTTGTGTTGTCATAACCGTTTTTATAAGTGATCTCAGGGATGTGTTGCACTTCTCACTTGTTGGATTTCTACATCCACGTGGTTTGGGGATTTAACAAAGGTGTATTTTATGTCAAAATAAATTTGGGTTTGAACTTGCACTTTAAATTTTATAGAATTAAGTATAACTCACAGTACTTACTACAGCCTTGTGTTGGCAGTCTGTGTGATCTCTGACCTTGGCCTTGCTGGAGCTACAGTCAAAAGTGTTACTGTGAAATAGGCTTTTATTTTGAAGATTAACTTGTGCCTTCTAGTGCTCTTGTCCATCAGTTGTGGAACAGGAAGAAAAATCTAAGGAATGGTTTTCTCTGAGGACTCTGCTTGTTGACTAATTTTAGGATTATGTTGTTAGCAATAAGTGCATTTCCAGTAGCACTTGTGTTGACTTGGAGTAAAAACACCTGGCAAGGAAAGGATGTGATCTTGAAGGTAGGAGACAAGTTTTCATGCTTCAAGTCACAAAAACAACATGAACTTTCGGAAGAAAYTACTCAAATTCAGGATTGAATTATTTTGACCTTTTTTGGGGGGTCTTTGAAGTGCTGAGGATTTGGGGCTGTGCACTGTGCCGTTCTTGTGTTTATATTCCTGTGCCAGTATCACTTTGTGAAGCTGTTTTGTGACTTTGGGAATTCCTTAAGCCTAGGTAGGAAGGATGAGTGTTGTGCTGTTTAAGCTTCAAATATTCAATGAACTTCTTTCACCCTGGATATTGGATTAATAGGTATTTCCATGGTAATAAAAATAGGTATGAGGGTATTGATCCTAATGAACTGTAGATTATTAAAAATAGCTACAGTCTACAAAGAAATGGGAAAGTAAACATTAACATTTYACTGACCAAATTGAATGAAATGCAGAAATAGTTGGAACTGGGCAGAATAGTTGGAATTTGGGCATTTTCTGCCTGTTGAACMGGGAGGATTGCATTTACAAGGAGCTGTGTAATTGATGTAAGCACATGCTGTTTGCTAGACATGAATATTGTGAATTGCATAAATGCAACCTCATGCTCAAATACTTAGTTTTGCAATAAATACTTCAGGAGCCAGTTGCTTAATTGCCTGATTATGACAAGGAAGACAAGGCTGAAACAAAAAAGTGAATGAAAACTAAAGTATTCTGCTGGAAAACGGGGTTGCACTGGAAGTTGCTGGTCTCCAAGAGGCATTTTCATGAGCTTAGCTGTGCTCCTGTTGTACGTAAGCTGCTGCCTTTGCCAGTTTAAATAAATGCATCTTTGATTTTGGTCAGTGTTTTCAGTCCATCCTCTGGAGCACGTTCTGAGCCTGGTCTGTCAAAGGCCACTGAATTTTGTCAGTGTTAGGAGTTGCATAACTCCTTTGTGAGTAATTACTGGCAGTGACGTGGATGACTCAGCTCTACCTAGTTTTGTGCATCTCTCAGAATCTCCACAATCGGGTGGTGTTCTGTGAAGGAGAGAAAGTAAAATATTGCCCTTAATTTAAGTGCCCTCAGCCGTTGCAATACTGTAAAGATTTTGTGAAGATCTTTGAGAACAAGTTGCCTTTAAAAAAAAAACAAACTATGCACATTAATGCTCTTAAAGAGAAAACAATGAGTGTCTTTATGCATTGAAAAGGGCTGCAATACAGTAATAGTGATGGTGGGTTTGTATACCACTTCTGAAGTTARTTTTGGAAATCTGCTATAGTGTTCTGAGTCTCTGAAAGGAGCCAGGAGTCTCCTTTGCAGGTTGCTCACCTTGCTTCCTGCAAGATACCTTTGGAAAGACTTCACAATAACCCTAAATCCAAGGAATGATATGACTTCTTTACTCATCATAGGTAGAATTTTGATATTTATATAGTGCTTTACAACATTAAGAATAAAATTTGAAGTAGTTGCTTTCATCAAGTCTAAATCTTATCCTTTTGCAGAATTACCTACCATCAGATATGATTTTGAGACAGKCTGCTTTGATTCTGGAGTTAGGATCGTTTACCCAGGCAGAAATGAAAGATCTCAAGTGCTTTGCTAATTTAGTGATCCCTATGCTTGGGGTCAGCTTTGTGTCTTGTCAGWGCTATAACTTGTTGGAGGCACACGTAATTCTCCCTTGATCTGATAATGGGAAGGATCAAAATGTTCTTTTAAAATCGCTAATTATATGTTGCTGAAGGTTTGGTATCCTGTCTGAATGTATGATTTATTTGCCACAGGAAAGGAACTTGATAGCTCTCCCTAGTAATTGATTATGGGTTTCGGTTTTTTTAGATTGATTTATCTCCCTCTTTTACTTGGTGTTTTAAAGAGTGTGAGGGAGTTACGAGGTCTCTTCCCTTTGTGGGGGGAATTGAGGGACTGGGGYTGGCCCAGGAGTTGTGTAGGTGAGAAATGGATGTGTCCAGAACCCTCAAATTCCTCAGACCTATCTCAGGAAACACGCAGTAGGCCAATGTGTTGCTAATTAAATTAACGATGCAAACTCTCTGTAGATGTAATTAAGAATAAATGAAGAACAAATGTGGTCATTCTGATAGAATATTTTTTTCCCAAGTATTTTTTAAATAATTGGGATTTCCTATGTAAGCTTGCCCTCGAATATTTTAAAATAAGTATTTGAAGTATTCCTTCTGTGTGTGGGGAAGGARACTGGTTATTCCTGTGTGCATCTGGAAAAACTGAGGTGCAGATCTGGGGACATGGCAGTAACTTCCCAAATAGATCCCAGGGAAGTAGGAAATGGGAAGGATAGAGGAGCTCTTGGTGATCCCTAGGTGGAATTTTACCTATTTGAAGCCAGACAAACAGGTGAGTGGTGGTGAATACTGCTTTCGACTTCTAACTATAGGATGATGATAAAATTCCCAGTTCTGATTTTTCTAGAAATTTTTAAATTTTGGTTGATTGCCTCAGTGAAGGCATGTAAAACCAGGGCAGGATGAACCTGCTTTACATATTCTGCTGCTTTGCCTGTGATTAAACATTTTTGCTGACCTTTAGCCTGGCTACTTTCAACCAAAACCTGTAGATCCACCAATTCCTAAGGCATTTACCATGTMATCTGTGAAAACAGCCTTAATATGGGGGGGAAGATGGTTTAAATCTCTATGGTAATACTGGGAATCTTCTGCTRTGCTGTAAATATCAGAGGAGGAACATGTGCAATAGCAGTTCAGCCTTTTCCCAGCCCACAGACGCCCTTTGGATATTCTCCCAAGGTAACAGGGATGTCCCAGTCATGGATCCACAGCTCTGTTTAAATCCAGAGGCACATTGCTTCATCCTCCCTGGAAGACAGTTGGATCCYTCAGCCTGCACCTCTGCAAAAGTGAGTGTCTGACCTGCCAGGTGCTCTGACCTAAACTTTGAGCTCATCTATTTACATAGTTCCTTTTGTTATTTTATACTAATCAACAACGTGGGGTACTTGGTGTCATCTCCAAAATGTGTGTTTGGAAAGTATTGTCAGTGTTTGCCTAAATGTCTGAGTTCAGTTTGTGTTTTCCGGGGAGTTAATATTTAAAATGTTCTGTTGTRGGACTTTAGCAGCACTGAACAGCAAAAAGGATTCCAGGATGAAGGAATCTCCTTCACAATCATAGTACTGGCTTCTTTTACCTGTTCTTTTTATAGAGAGCTATGATTTTTAATTCTCAATAATAAATTAAATTTGTGCATTTGTAGATATTTAGTAAGTAATGACTTAGAGGTTAAAATAGTTCTGTTCTATATATGTTTGTGCATAAATATTCATGATTAAGTCACTAAAAGGAACCTCACTTGGCTGTGGAAGCTGCATTTTGTATCTGGTTTCCACAGAGGTGGGAAATAAGTATTAACTGTCACTTTTCTTTTTTTGCCAGCTTCTGGTTATTGAAACTTGGCCAATTAAGTGACTGTACAAGACAGCAGTGATTTGATTTTTGTCATTGACTTTTTTTAGCTGAATTACTTAACAAGCTACCAGACTTTGGGTTATATTCCARCAGGCTTGCAGGGGTTTTGGGTTACTTGGGTTGTTTTTAACAGACAGTGACCAGGCTTCACAAACAAATATGGCAAAAGTGTAGCTGTGTGTATCCAGCAGTAAAAGCAGGTTCRTGCCCTTGAACCTCGAATTCTTTGGACTAAAAATTGGCAGATGTCCCAGCTCGTATCAGTACCAAGAGACTGGACAGGAAAAAACAAACATAAACTAAGGAGCAACAATGAAGGGGAAAAGTGTATGATAGGAAATTGTTAATTAAGATGATTACCTGCCATAAAAATCCAATAGCTTAGTGCACTTGATTTGGCAGCAAGTTGAAAGTACATTACATGGTGTTCTCAGGAACAGCCTAGATGAAATAACACACGGATTTTGGGTTCAAAACCCATTCCAGCTTGTTTTCAACATATCTGCAGTTCTTYTGGCTGGTAGCGTCAGTTCCAGAGTATAAATTTAAGTAACAAAAGTTGGGAAATGCTCATATTTACAGAAAGAAAAGATGAGATGCACATTAAAATCATTATGACTTAATGTCCGTGAAGGAACAGTGTTATTACATTTCTGACCTGGAGTGGAAACCCAGTTTATTTCTAGTTTCATATCAGCTTTTTGGATAATTTTGGAGGGGCTTCACATTGGTTCACACTTGAATGTAAATCATCTGGTGGTGTGAAAAAAAATGGCATGGAAATGAGGTTGGAGGTCAGAGCTGGGCTGAAMTTTGGTATTATTTCTTGATTTATTCAGTTAATTCATACCGTAACAACTATAGTGAGTGTCTTGTCCCTCCCAGTATCTAATTTGGAAAAAAATATTTATGCAAAAAAATAAATAAGTTATGTAGCAAATTAGTAGCTTTGGTTTCTGAATCCAGGATAATGGGCAAGTAATTTTTGGTCTTTAGAGTTGGAGTGGAACACATGAGAGATGAGTGATGGGAATGGGTTAAACTGAGTTATGATAAATAGAAGCTTGAAGAGTGAAAATACATGAAGCTTTATGCCATTTCCTTGATCTCTTCTTTTTCCCCAGTGAGGATATAGTCCAAAAATAAGTTCCAGTATCTTGCTACAAAAATTGGAGGTTTAATTTTATCAAAATCATTAATTTATGAATTAGCTCTTAAAAGCTCTCYTTAAAACCAGGAGTCTGTAGCAGCAGTGAAGTGGTTGAGGGTTTTCTTGGGTGACACAGCCATGGTACAAACCTGTTCCTCCAGATTCTGCCTTTGGTTCTGAACAGAGGAATCTGTGGGGCAGAGGAATCTTTGTAGTCCTGTGTTTTACCAACTCCCATGCTGACAGTAATAAAACATTCCAGTATCTGAGGCAGGGATTTTGTATAAATTCAGAAGTACAAGAAAAAAAGTCATCACCCAGCATAAAAATTTCATTGGTTGAACTCTTATTTTTAGAGAAAAAGTAGTTTGTTTTCTTATATTATTTCTGGTTAATATTTTAGTGTGAGACCTGTGCTACATAAATCTAGAGATGCTGAACAATTAATATATAAATTAATTGGCAATTATTACTAGCAAAATCCATAATRGATTCACCCATTTTTTGTCAGGTATTTCCAGTTTTTAATTAATGCTTTGCAAGTCTGAACAGAGCATGTACTTCATATTTCTGGGGTTTGGGTTTTTACTTAGGGAGAGCTTAAACTAAGTTTTGAAGGGTTTTTTTTCTGCAGCTGAGGACTTGGTGTTTTCAGAAAGGCTTGGAATCACTTTTCTCTTTAAACTGCAAATTAATTTTCATTAGAAGACTTTAGGTTTTTGAAAAGTGTCTGCAGCATGAGTTTTGTGCATAACTGAGGACTTCTGCATTAGTGTCATCTTGTCGGGGTGGTATCTGTAGCTTTTAAAGGAGTTTTAAATTAATCCCAATTAAATAACACTGGCATAATAATAATAATGATGGCATTTACAAAGGGAGATGCTAAATGATACATAAGGGAGATGCTAAATATAACTACTGAGTAGTAGTGTTTGTTTGAAACTACAGCTTTAAATTAGAGCAGTCCCACCACCAGTTTGCACTTGTTTTCTCTGAAATGTAAATTGGTCAAATTATGAACTCTGTTAATTTGAAATTGCTGGGTCTTAATGATGTTTTTTTTTCTTTTTTTTTTTTTTTTTTGCATTCCCCTCTCCAGCTAAATGGCCTTAAAATGGCAGATGAGCCTATGGAAGAAGGTGAACCATATTCCTACCACGTGAGTGTTCGATACCTGTTCACTTTAACCACTCATTAGCATGACCTCCTGTTGAAGCAAAATTTATTCATTCCCTGCTCTTTAATGACTTCTGAACCCATCATTTTATTTGAGCAACATCTGAGGAGACTCAAAGTCTCAAAGATGGTTTTGGAAATTAGTACCTRAGTGGGGATTGTAAGTGCCTTGTTTAGGAAAATCCGTTGTGTGAGGCAGAGCTTTCTGGAAAGATTCCTTGTGCTGGAGGGAGCATTTGCTGATCCCTCAACTTCAAAAATGCTCACACCAACCTTTAACTTTTATAGAGAGTGCTCAGTGTTACTCTTACTACACTGTCACCTGTTCTGCCTTTGTAGTTTTGAAYGTAGTTGCTTTACATTCAGCTCAAAGGTGCTTAATTCTGCTGTTTTAGAACAGAAGTAGTGTTTACATCAGTATGCTAATTTTGCTTTTATGTAGAAATATCCCAGGTAGGCCCCTATTGAGCATGGTTTTTGTCCAGTGCCTGTTTAGGGGGCTCTGAAGGTGAGTGTTCTGTGTGCTGCTAACCTTGGACTAAGCTTTGGGCTCATCCTGTGTGTGATGAAATGCCTGACTTCCCATGGAAATATTGGCCATCATTTTTCAACAGACTTATCCTTGGATTTTTGAACAGGGTCATGAAGAGCGTGTCAGGTGCCTGTTGCCCAGAGAGGTTGTGGACTTCCCATTCCTGRAAGTGTCCAAGGCCAGGCTGGATGGGGCTTGGAGCACCCTGGGATAGTGGAATATGTCCTTGCCCATGGCAGGGGGTGGCATTGGATGGTCTTTAATGTCCCTCCAATCTAATTACTCTGGGATTCTGTGATTAGTAGATCTTACCAGCAGTTGTAACCACTGCTTTGTGTTACAGGAGCAACATTTCTAAGTTAGGGATTTGGAGAATAAACTCTTGGGCGTAGAATCACCTAGTGCTTGGATGTTTCCTGGTGTGGAGTGTAGCAAGGAAAGGAGCAGTGGATTGTCTTGAACSAGGAGGAGGAGGAGGTTGCTGTCAGGTGCAGGGAGCTGTGACAAAGCCACAACTGATGCTGGCATTTCCTTTGGCTCCTGGTGAACCTACTGGGAACAGGRTGTAGTTCCCTCTTGAGCAAGGCCACTTGGTGGGAACTGGTGCCTCAGCTCAGAAAGAAATTTGCTTCTTGAGCAGCAGAACACAAAATGAGATAACCAAATTTGCAGTTCATGGAGGCCAAAGTAGAAATGAAAATGAAAGTGGCTTGGGGCTGCTCCGCTCTTTGTGTGCTCATTCCTTGGTGATGATGAAGAGGTCTCTTTATACCTCAGCCATGCCAATTTTTAGTACCTTAATGACAGTTAAGTAAGTGAAATTATATAGACATTTTTTGTGAGGATAAAACACTTTGTAAAAAAACTAATTTCATCCATCTCGAGCTAGTCTATTTGCATGGAAAACATTTCTCTCCTGAGTTCACATTTAGAAATCCTCTCAGTCTCCTCAGCAACCACGTGTGATGTCACAGGCTAATGGCTTGAGGTGGGTGATAAACACAGGAGAGGCTGAACTCTTAAAGAGCTTTTCTCATGCAAAGGTTCACAATGTTAGGGAATACAAATTAGGATGGTGAAGAAAAAAGGCTTCTCAATAGAGTATTTACATATTTCATAGGAAGAACCAGCCATTAAGTCTGTTGTCTAATTACACACCAAGTTGTACAACTTGCTGCTTTCATCTGTCATCCGATGACTTCAAAATGCTGCTGTTCTTACCTGCCTTAAATTAGGCATGTGTTTAAAAACTAAAGGAAAATGAAAAGATAGTGCATCTATGCTCTGGGTACGTAAATGCTGGGTCACCAGGGTGGCTGGATGAGGGGAAGTTGGGATGTTTACAGTGTGTCATCATTGTGTGTCAGCTGTGGGTTTGTGACCAGCGAGGGAAATAAAGTGGCTTGGAGTGTGAATTATAGAATTAACTTTGTTTCCCAGCAGTGTCTGGTGTTAATACCCACCTTTGTGTGGGAAGCAGGCAGAAACAAACAGGCCTTTCCCAGAAAGAGGATGAAATAAGAGAGAGAGGGGAGGRGAAAGGACTCGTGTGCAGTAACAGCTGGACTACGATTTGGGAATATACCAAGATGTTTGTTTGAGCTCTTTCTTTCCCCCACTGGACGAGGAAAGCAATTAAGGCAGAAGCAGTTAATGTAGTATGATGATTGCTTCTTTTTTTTTCTTTAATTACTGCAGTATGTACAAATTTAGATGATCAGATTTCTACTCAGAATTTATGTGTAAAATCCAGGCACYTCT